CATATACCCACGTATAGATACATATTTTTTAGGGCACAAATCTTTTACTTTCCAAACAGGAGAGGAACGTGACACATTAAGAAGCAGTTTGCCGATGGCTCTTTTCCCAGTTTTATCAAGCATTTCGTAGCGAAACCTGACAAGCGATGTTTGAAATCCACAACAACTGCGAAGAGCAGCCTGTTTTTTGCAGCCTGACTGCAGGTTCAGAGGATGTGGAAACAAAAGATTTGCCACTGATTTGAAACTGAATATTCAATACTTTCCTCTCCTGCTGCTGTTCCATGTGGGATCTTTCTCTTGAGGTTGGCAGTTCAAACCTTTCTGTGCCAACCGTGACTTTAGAAGAACATCTAACATCTGCTGTAATTCCCCAGGCAGTCATTCACTAGATGATAGCAATGCTGGCTTCGGAGTTCTGGAAGGTGAAGTCTACACATCTTCAACTAACATTCTATCCCAACATTTGCTAAGATTCGCATCAATTTTCTACAGGAAATAAATGGAAAAACAAAGAACCGACGATGTATTGACCCATGCATCAGTAGAAAGACTAAGAAACACTCCAATGTTTTTGCAAGTAAATAAGACTCCATAAATACTTGCTTTTTTTTTTTTGATAGTATGTTTCTGCTGTTATTATTCCCTTTCAATGCAACTCAGAGATTTAAAAAAATCCTTTTTAAAAACAGTGGTCTCCAGCATCAGAAAATCTGTCTATCCTGGTTTGAAGATTGCAAAACCAATCCTGTTACGCACATTGTATTATCTAAAGAGTGCAGTTTATACTTCCTTCTTGGGAAAAGCATTAGAGTTGGAAGGAGATAAAATAACATGTTGGTTTCATCTTTGGCCTCTGGTTCCTAATAAACAATCATGTATACTTTCTGCAGAAGAAGAAACATTCCTGAATGAAAATAGAAATTCAAATGTCTCTGGCATAACAGAGCTGGGAAGAGCGGTTTCTTTCTAAATTTACATTAGAACAAAACCAAAATCATTGCATTTTTTCTCTTAAATCAATTATTACATGCTTATTATGTTGACACTGACAGTTGAACAATGGAAATCGGTTCTCCAGACTCTTATTATTCACAAAATAGTTCCTCAACAGTTGGAAGCAAATATAATGGTTTACATTACAATTCATTTATCTAATGGATTGGAGACCTGATGTTATTTATGCCCTGTGAATGAGTTACTTATAGGCCAAGATTATATATGGACAATTACATTGAAGTACAATAATGTTTTATTGAAACAGTTACAGAGAGAGAGAGAGAGAGAAGAAAAACAAAAAGAAGAATGAGAGAGAGAAAATCCTGATGCAATTATAAGAAAATAAATTGTACACACAGAGGTTCTTGCACATATATAACTGTATATGTTTGAATATTTTTGACTGTATCTTTTGAATGGTAGGGAGATGTTGTTTATCTCTGTGTGCCTGTTAATGGCCCATTTGCCTGAATGTCAAGCTTGCAGCAATTCTCAAGAATTTTTAAACTTAACCTGGTCTAGAATGCTCCGGTACCCTTTGATGTCTCGGAGTCATAGAACGTGCCATGACCGTTTTATCAAGGTCTAGTGGTTGTCCATCTGATCAAGGTTTTCTTTTCCACAAATGTTCCTTGCCCACAAGAATTTTATCAGAAAAAAAAACATGTTCAGGATTTCACTCTCCCTTCATAATTTGGAACATCTTGCTCAAGCGTGTTTTGCAGATTTCTTCTCTGCCTAATCTTTACTTTCTCACAATTAACTTATTCTATAACACAGTGGTTCTCAACCTTTTTAATGCCGCGACCCCCAACCAGTCGTAAGTCGAGGACTACTCAACTGGTGCAGCACCGTTTGCAGAATGGGACTTTTGGCGGGCTCAGCAGGGCAGAGACAGCCTGGACAATTCCTATTGGCTTTTGAAAGCCAATAGAATTAGACTCTATTCAAGAGAGTCTATTCTATTGGCTTTCAAAAGCCAACAGAATAAAAGGGAGTAGCACAGCTAAGGAAAAGGGGGAAAAAATGGCGGACTGCATTGTTTGGCGACCCCTGTGAAATGGTTCTTTGACCCCAAATGGGGTCCCGACCCACAGGTTGAGAACCACTGCTATAACACAAGCCGATGAAAGGTTAATGTTTTATCAATGCTTGGACCAATACCGAACCCCCTTTTTCCCATAGTTCGGCCCTGACAAGATAGAAAGACAGAGCATCACACAGTTCAGGAGGTTCAGCCAAAAATGTTTTCAAGGGGGGTGAGTTTCTGAGAAATACAGATCTCTGACTACTTGCAGAGTCATCTTTATTTCCAGAGAATGCCACGAGGTTCCAAACAGTATTTCTCAACAATGTAAATGGGCTGTAAGTGCCCTCCCCACCCCAAGGAGGGGGACAATAACAGAAAAGTAAGCAAGAGCTTAACAGTAGATATTCTAAGGGTTGAGCACAAAGGCTCCCAAAGGTGCTTTTTTTCTTTTTCAAGAGGCAACTGGACTTTTTTTCGTTTTTATAATAATAATAGAGTTGGAAGGGACCTTGGAGGTCTTCTAATCCAACCCCCTGCTCAGGCAGGAAACCCTAGACCATTTCGGATAAATGGCTGTCCAGTCTTTTCTTAAAAACTTCCAGTGTTGGAGCATTCACCTCTTCTGGAGGCAGGTTGTTCCATTGGTTAATTGTTCTAACTGTCAGGAAGTTTCTCCTTAGTTCTAGGTTGCTTCTCTCCTTGATGAGTTTCCACCCATTGCTTCTTGTCCTGCCTTCAGGCGCTTTGGAGAATAGCTTGACTCCCTCTTCTTTGGGGCAGCCCCTGAGATATTGGAACTCTGCTATCATGTCCCCCCTCGTCCTTCTCTTTGTTAAACTAGACATACCCAATTCCAGCAGCCTTTTCTTATATGCTTTAGCCTCCAGTCCCCTAATCATCCTTGTTGCTCTTCTCTGTACTCTTTCTAGAGTCTCAGCATCTTTTTTACATCGTGGTGACCAAAACTGCTTCTCATCCAAGAAGCTTCTTCAGTTCTGTTTCTTGGATGAGAAGCGAAACATCTTCAAAGTAAACAAAGAAAGTCCAGTTGCCTTTTGAAAAAAAGCACTTTTGGGACAACCATTATCCTGGATGACTGAAAATCTCCAGAGATGAATAGAAAGCTGTAGCTCTGAATCCATTTGTGCACAAAAAAATAGACCATAAAGATTTTTAGTCCATTTTTATGAAGCAATTAGATTCAGGCTCTGCTTCTACAGGCAGTCGTTGACTTACAACCGCTGATTTGGTGACTATTCAAAGTTATAACGGCATTGAAAAAAGCGACTTATGACCGTTTTTCACACCTACATCCCCCTGGTCATGTGATCAAAACCGATTGCTTGGCAACTGACTCCTATGTATGACGGTTATGCAGTGTCCCAGGGTCATGTGATCCCTTTTTGCAACCTTCCAACAAGCAAAGTCAACGGGGAAGCCAGACTCACTTAACAACCATGTTACTAACTTAACAACTGCAGCGATTCACTTAACAACTGTGGAAAGAAAGATCATAAAGTGGAGCAAAATTAACTTTACTGCTATCTCGCTTTGCAACAGAAATATTGCGCTTAACTGTGGCCATACGTTGGAGGGGCTACATGTCATCTAGTTTTACCCTTGTTTTATTTGAGTTATTTCCAGACTAGCATGAATAAATGAGAAGGGAAGAATTAGTCAGATAACTTGCTTGGGGGGAGGGGGGAAATGTCCCACCTACATGGATTAATGGTTAAAGGAATGTAGGCAAATGATAAGCGTGGTGTGTCTCTCCACACAACCTTTTCTGCAATTCCATTGAAGCCACCGATATAAAACAAAGCAAGACTTTGCTTGTAAGCAGCCTTAGATTGCAGAAGATAGGCGTATCTTGAAAGGGACAGAAACTGAACCTGTTAAAGGTAATAATGAATAAATATTTGTTTAGACTTTCTACCTCAGTATTCTCCTCTTTTGTTAAGGATTTCTGTTGCGATTGTTTTTTTTTAAAAGAAATACGGAACTTCAATTCTGCTCTTCTAAGGAAATTAGGTAACTGTAATCTCTTGGCCACTGAATTAATTCCTTTAGATGCAAGTCTAAACTGGGAGGGAGGGAAACTGAATGCCACGAATGTAGACCCTGTATTCTTCAAGAAAACATCCAAATTCAGAGAGCACCAAAGACTCCACAGTTCAGCCCTGAGGTACAAAAATTCTCTGCTCTTGCTATGCTGCTAACTTTCAGCTGTGTGCAAAATCGGGAGACACGTTGTACTTTTAATCTTTGTAACAGAAAGACTGATCAATATGACTCTTCCCTACTGCTGCCATAAACTGCTGGTCCCCCAAACATCTGGAGATGAAGCTTGAGAACCCGCTTTCTGGATTTCAACCTCTTCCTCCATGAGGGTATATACAAAGAGGGAAAGTGTAGTTGAGGTAGTCCTCAGTTTACAACAGTTCCCTTAGTGTCCGTTTGAAGTTACAAAGGCACTGAAAAGGTCAGTTATGACCGTTTTTCACCACTGCGCCATCCCCGTGCTCGCATGATCAAAATTGTCAGAGTAGGAATGCCTTTGTGTCTCCCCACCCTGCCAATATCCAGTGGACTAATAAGAAGGAAAACATTGCTTTTGTAAAAAAAAAAAAAAAATGGAAATTCAATTGCAGATTCCCCCTCCTGCCCTGGCGTGCCCTTTCGATATCATTTCTCTGCTTTTATTGAGAGAGTAAAATAATCACCTTGCTGCTGAGTGCTATCTTACTACTTCTCCTTTTCTGGCGAGCTGAAATGTGAGGAACCAGATAGGAGAGAAATTGGGGAACTCCCTCATAATCACCAACCCATCATCTGTTCTCATGATCACATGCAGCTCCTTCAGAAACGCCATGCGTTCAGCTTGCGCTGCACGTCGTGGTGATGCTGACGATGACCATTGCAGTTTGGTAAGATACAAACCCTGAGATTTTCCCCCTTCTGCGTGTGGGAAAGGAAAATATGTATTCTGTGGGTGGCAATACCAATGCATTCATGTTTGGGAGGACCTGGAGATCAGCCATTACTGAGAAATAACAGAGAGGAAAAGAAGGATATATGAACCACATCCTAAATTTCCGTACTGTAGATAGATGAACAAATGAAGCACGGAGCCAAAACAACGATGAGTTTTGAAAGAAGTCCTCTGTTTTGTGCGATGGAAAATGGAAGTGGTCAGAAAATAGATCAGGCCTGTGGGTAGACTCCTGGATAACTTACCGAAAGCATTAGGGAGCTACATTTTGATTACATAGACGTGTTCAAATGGAATGGTTAGATTTCAGAAAAAGGAGAGCACTTCCCATTCACTAATCTGTGTTAGAGGTGCTGTGAAGAGCAAACGGGATCTTCTGAAGGTAGGAACTTTGCTCTGTTATCCTCTATTGATGTATCTGTCTTGGAGAACCTAATGAATAGTCTACAGCAGGGGTCTCCAATCCCTGTTCCGTGGACCGGTACTGGACCACAGCATGCATCCAGTATTGGTCACCACGATGTAAAAAAGATGTTGAGACTCTAGAAAGAGTACAGAGAAGAGCAAAAAAGATGATTAGGGGACTGGAGGCTAAAACATACAAGGAACGGTTGCAGCAATTGGGTATGTCTAGTCTGATGAAAAGAAGGACCAGGGGTGACATGATAGCAGTCTTCCAGTATCTCAGGGGCTGCCACAAAGAAGAGGGAGTCAAGCTATTCTCCAAAGCCCCTGAAGACAGGACAAGAAGCAACGGATGGAAACTAATCAAGGAGAGAAGCAACCTAGAACTAAGGAGAAACTTCCTGACAGTTAGAACAAGTGGTGAATGCTCCAACACTGGAAGTTTTTAAGAGGAGACTGGACAGCCATTTGTCTGAAATGGTATAGGGTTTCCTGCCTGAGCAAGGGGTTGGACTAGAAGACCTCCAAGGTAGTAGTAGTAGTAGTAGTAGTAGTAGTAGTAGTAGTAGTAGTAGTAGTAGTAAAAAACCTCCAGTGATGGAGAATCCACAACTTCTGGAGGCAAGAGTTTCCATTGATTAATTGTTTTCAGTGTCAGGCAATTTCTCCTTAGTTCTATGTTGAATCTCTCTTTAATGATTATTTCACACAATACGTCTTGTCCTGCCTTCAGAAGCTTTTGTCATAGGCACCTCCAACAATTCCTATTAAGGACAGTCTTATTTGTTTCTGGTGATGTGCAACATGGATGAATTAATGGACTATTTTGCCTTTTAAGGAAGCTCCTATGGTATAATGTGTATGCTAAAAGTATTACAAGAATCTTTTGTGTGTTTGATGCATCAGATTGACATAGCTCGTGTGGCTCCTTTTGAGTTTTCCAGGTTTTCCATTAGCAAAATCCAAGCAGAGATGGAAAAATATCCCCAATGTATGTTTTTTTTTCCAGTTTTATACACATTCACTTTAATTTTTCTTTTTCCAAAAATGTTATATAGGCAACAATGAGTATAATCTAAAAAAAAAAAAACCTTAACCCAAATTATAAAAGAGACCACCTTATTCTAAAAATACAAACTGAAAAGAAAAAAAATCTTATATTTTATACTTATCAACAGTCCCTGGTTTGCCAATAAATTACACCTGTAATATAATCAATTACTCCTCCAATATAATCAGTTCAGAATATTATTGTAGAATATCACAAACCTCTCTGCAGTAGTAACACATATTGCTGCCTCCTTTGATGGATAGAAAAGAAGTGCCTTTTCCAAAAATAAATCACCTGTCCCAAATAGATGCCTAAGGAAACATGACATTTGCAGCCTTTGTAAAAAAAAAAAAAAAAGCACAACAGAAAGTTTGGTGACTCTTAAAACACTAGCTCATTTATCACAATGCAGGCTTTTGTGAGCCAATGTCTACAGTATTTCAACTGATGTTTATGCCACATTAAACTTGGATTTAAAAGTATCACGAGAATCCATTGTTTTTATATAAATATCATGTGGTTCATTATGTACTGTCTTATCAGAATCCATCAAGCAGATCAGTGGTTGAACACCTGCTCATCTATGTATCCTATGCAATGCAGATAGTCCTCGATTTATGATCACAGTTGGGATCAGAATTTCCATTGCTAAGCATGTGCCTGGTTTTATGACCATCTTGCCAGGGTTGTTAAGTGAATCATGTGGTCATAAAGCGAATCCAGCTCCCCCCCATTGTCATTGCTTTTCGGAAGCCAACTGGGATGATTGCAAATGGTGATCACCTGACCCCGGGATGCTATAAACACATCCTGGTTGACAATCACCCAAATTTCAGTCACGTGACAGTGGAGAAGCTGAGATGGTCGTATGGGCAAGGACCAGTCATAAGTCACTCTTTTCAGCGTTGTTGTAACTTCGAACAGTCTCTGCGTGAACGGTTGTAAGTCGAGGGACAACCTGTAGCTAAGTAGCAGATATTGCATTATTATGATTAAAGCAATTCCTGTGCAGGTTTTAACCAAGCTAAACCAAGGGAAATCGGAGAGCTGCTTTCCTAGTTACAAACTGCCAAATCTTTGAAAGCGAGCTTGAAAGATTGCACTTGTTGCTGTTCAGTTATTAAATCAGAATTGAAGAAGCTTCTTGAATGAGAAGTGAAACGTCTTCAAGGAAAAACAAAGAAAGTCCAGTTGCTTCTTGAAAAACTGGATATCTGAGAAGCTCCATAGACACAACCGAAGCCCCTTTCTTTTCTCATATGTATTGTTTGGGATTTTTCTTCAGACACTAAGTTGTGTCTGACTCTTCGCAACTCCATGGACCACAGCCTGTTTCCCTGTCTTCCCCATCTGCCAGAGTTTGCCCAAATTCACCTTCATTGCATCAATGACACTATCTAACCATCTCATCCTCTGCTGTCGCCTTCTTCTTCCATCTTCCCCAACATCGGGGTCTTTTGATTTGATCTCCAAGGGTCTCTCAAGAGTCTTCTCCATCATCATAAATGCAAAGCATCAATTCTTTTGACACTCAGCCTTCCTTATGGTCCAGCTCCCACAGCCATGCTTTACTACTGGAAAACCACAGCTTTTACTATATGAAACTTTGTGGTGCAAGGGGACACTCCACTGAATTGCAAACAATGGTTCAGGAGAGATTTTGTCCCTCTATCCTCTAAATTTGCCATTTGTTCAGGTTTTAAATGTCTGAAAGAGGTACCTGGATCTCATTCACACAACTAGACTTATGCATTTCTCAACTTCCAGTCACCCCATCTTCTCTTTGTCCATAACACAATCCTCTGTTCAGAAATAAGCTTTAGATGAATGTTGTGTGATGTGCTTTCAAGGAACTGTAGCAGCTTTCTCCAGCCTTCTGCCCTTCAGATGTTTGTTGACACAATTTTGGGGAGTGTAATCTCAAACACAATTGGAGGACAGATTGAAGATGGCTCAGAGACAGGATAATGAATGTGGGAGACACTGGTGTGAATTAAAACCCTGCAGAAGAACTACAGGTCAGGAAAATCCTCTAGAAGAAATGACTATTTAACATATATGTTGGCTGCCCAATCACCTTACCTAAACTCTTCTGAGGAAATCCTTATTTAATGCCACGGCAAAATGATTTAAACACACCCACCCCCTCTTTTCCTTTTATAGATTTTAGTCACGCTGCACAATCTGTTTTTCATTTAGCTAGCATTGTAGGATGTCAAGCCCTTAAGGATTCTAAGGCTGTTTCAGATTCTTATTTTGCATTGTTTCTTAATTTAACTTTCTACAAATAAATATCCTCTCAATCCATTGAAGAAATCCTCCAATTTTTGGCTCCCCAACAGAACTCACTCCAGCTAGGGAAAGTCTGGCTTGCCTCCAAAAAGAGAATTTTTTACAAGGTTCCTCAGTCTTATGAACTTTCAGATACAGGTAGTTCCGGACATATGACCACAACTGAGCCCAAAATTTATGTTGCTAAGCGAAACTTTTGTTAAGCAAGTTTTGCCCCATTTTACGACTTTTCTTGCCATAGTTGTTAAGTGAATCATGGCAGTTGTTAAGTTACTAACAGGGTTGTTAAGTGAATCTGGCTGCCCCATTGGCGCTGCTTGTCAGAAGGTCACAAAAGTGGGTCACGTGACCCCGGGGACACCGCGATCATCATAAGTATGAGCCAGTTGCACAGCATTCGAATTTGGATCCCGTGACCAAGGGGAACACCGCGACGGTTATAAGTGTGAAAAAGGGTCATAATTTTTTCAGGGATGTTATAACTTTGAACGGTCCCTAAACGAACCCTTTAGTGTAGATGGGTTTTGATGCCCAGAATTCTCAGCAACAAGCACAGGTGGGAATTTCTGAGACGGGGCTCTTAATAAATTACGCGATGGAGAAAAACTTGTCTTTGATACCGCAAAGGGAAGAAAGCGTTGCTTTCTGTTTTAAGAACAAAGAACATTTTTTATTGTCAGCAATTCTTTTTTTAGCCCTGATCTTTACCCACGTTTGTGCATGGGCGGGATTGGAAAAAAAAATATACCCAAACAAATGTTCTTCCTACGCTCGGCCAATCCTGGCTTCGAATGTATGAAAATTAAAATGTCTTTCCTTGACATTTTGTTGGGTCTGGTGCCTCTTCGGTTTGTATGTTGTAAATATTAGGGCTGCCCAGAGGCAAATCTGGTCTTCAGTAAGAAAAATCTATTCTGGCAAAGTTTTGGGAAGACGTGAGTGCATATTTTCTATCTGAGAGAAATTCCCAGAGGTTTCTGTGTAATGCTATTTGGGATAGGAGCTCTTGGTGTTGAAAAGCCTGAGAGAAACGTATAATGTTTTTTTTAATGCAGCATGATGAGAGCGTCCCCATTACGTCTCCTCTTTTTCTTCCTTTGTCAACAGCAGGCTGACTGCGTAAAGATTTTCAGAGATTGATTACGTCTTTTCACTGGGTTTGAAACCCTTTCCGTGAAGAGTCTCCTCAAACGTGGATGAAAACAGTGCTCCTTTTTTTATCCAAGAATATATATATAGATATATTTGGAGGCATCTCATTTAGCTCGTGGACTTCCTTGGGATCCAGTGATGGTGGTGCTTCTGGGGCTACTCTGCCTGCTGGTGGACATTTGGGGATCCAGAGCAACTAAAGAATCCTTGAGAACTGAAGTTCTTGACCTCATGGCGGCATCTCGGCTAATAGACGGGTATGTGGGTTTCCTTCCTTGCAGACATAAAACAGCAAAGCTATGATTTGACTAGAATTCTATTCTGGCAGGGTGGTGCAGCGGTTCAGTGGTTAAGGTGCTGGGCTTGTCAGCTGGAAAGCTGGCAGCCCAGGTTCAAGACCCCAGCACCACACGACGGGGTGAGCTCCCATCCCTTGCCCCAGTTCCTGCCCACCGAGCAGTTCAAAGGCATGCAAATGTGAGTAGATTAATAGGTATCACTTTGATGGGAAAGTAACAGTGCTCTGTGATGTCAAGCAGACCACATGACCGCAGAAATGTCTTTGGACAGCGCTGGTCAATGGCCTTGAAATGGAGATAAGTATGGCCCCTTATAGTCAGCATATTCTGATGACTTTCTGTTTGCTTTCTCTTTTTTTGCTTCTTTGTGTCAGTGTTAAGTAGTAAGTAAGCACTGGCTCCTGGTGAGGCCTGGAGAAGTCCCTGCAGATTTCTGGGCAGCTTTTTTCAGAAGTGGTCTGCTACTGCTTCCTTCCTAGGGCTGAGGATGAGGGACTGGCCCAAGGTCACTCAGCTGGTTACTGCAAACTGACTCTCTTTAATACTTGGCTTTTACTGAAGGCTACGCATGTCAATCGGTTTGTATAGGGTGACATAAATGGCAATAATCGTACTGAGAGCCAGTTTGGAGTAGTGGGTAAGGTACCGAGCAAAAACCGGGAGACTGTGAGTTCTAGTCAAGCCTTAGACACAAAGCCAACTGGATGATCTTTGACTGGTCACTTTCTCTCAGCTCTTGGAAGGAAGCAATGGCAAACTATTTCTGAAAAAAACTTGCAAAGAAAACTGCAGGGACTTTTCCAGCAGTTGCCAGGAATATAGACTAGCTGAAAGGTACAAAAAAAATAAAATAAAATAAATCTTGTATTCTGCTAATTAATACAATTCTCTGGAGCTTGGGAACATTCTGAGCAGCTCGGAGTTTTCCCAGCATTTGGGGTGTTGGGATCATCAGGGCTGCATCAGAATAGGGACCTTAGAGGTCATCTAGTCCAACCCCCTGCTTAAGAAGGAAACCCTATATCATTTCAGACAAATGGCTTTCCAGTCTCTTCCTTAAAACTTCCAGTGTTGGAGCATTCACAGCTTCTGGAGGCAGGTTGTTCCACTGATTAATTGTTCTATTCCACTGATTCATTGTTCTAATTCTCCTGTCTTATCTTTCAGACACAATGATCTGCCCCTGAAATTAAGATGGTTACACCAGAACAAGCTAAGCACAATTGACTTGAAGAAACTCAAAAACACCAACACAAACATTGAGAAGCTCCAGGCTGGCCATGTTGGGGCACAGGTAAGTGCTACCTGAGTCCCAAGGAAAAACTAGGAGCTAAGATACATGCCGGAATGGGGATTGGTCAACAATGGTGAGAGCAGTGGTGAAAAAAATTGATGCTTCACATGATACAAGGATTGAAGTACTTCATTGAATTGATATAGCAATTGCCATCTTTATTTTACTTGCTTATTAGATTTTTTTTACCCTGCCTTTATGACTTTTATAAATAACTCAAGGTGGGAAACATAGATTATACTCATTCTGCCTCCTATTTTCTAAATTTTCCCAGTTTTGGTCAGTATATGTTCTCTGCGGTGCACAGAACAAAGATGCTGTACGTTTGACACTAGAACAAATTGATGTTGTCAGACGGATGTGTGAAGACTATGAAGAATTGGAACTGCTGACATCTTCAAAGGGTAAATTTTGTTTCCTTTGCTAATGAAAGAAACATTAGACAAAAGTATAAGAGATGAGAAACATGCAACTCTACCTATGCAACGGGTAGAAACTCATCAAGGAGAGAAGCAACCTAGAACTAAGGAGAAACTGACAGAACAATTAACCAGTGGAACAACCTGCCTCCAGAAGCAGTGAATGCTTCCAACACTGGAGGTTTTTAAGAAGAGACTGAACAGCCATTTTTCCGAAATGGTATAGGGTTTCCTGCCTGAGCAGGGGGTTGGACTAGATGACCTCCAAGGTCCCTTCCATCTTTACTATTACTATTATTATTACTATTACTATGTTCCTTATCCATGTGTTTAAATTCCAGGGGTGAGGAATATCTTCTTACATAGTCTTATGTTCCAGTCAACGCTTATTGGGCCGTACATAAGCTGAAATTGTTGTGCTAGTTTTTATACAGATAGTCCTCAACTTACGTTTGTCTAGTGTCTATTCTAAGTTACAACCTGAAAAAAAGTGACTTGTGAGAATTTTTCATACTTATAACCGTTGCAGCATCTCCATGGTCATGTGATTTGTATTTGGGTGTTCAACAAGTGGTTCATACGTATGACGGTCGCTGTGCCCCCTGGGGTCACGTGATCTCTTTTGCATCTTTCTGACAAGCCAAGTCAATGGGGGAAGCCAGATTCACTTAACAACTGTGTTGCTAACTTAACAACTGCAGGGATTTGCTTAACAACTGTGGCAAAACTCATTTAACACGTGTCTGGCTTAGCCACATTAATGCTGGGCTCAGTTGTGGTCGTAAGCCGAAGACTACCTGTAGACTGACTGGCTGAGAAATTCTGGGAGTTGAAGTCCCCAAGTCTTAAAGTTGTCAAAGTGAGATACACCTGCTCTAAACTGTAGGTTTCCTCTGATGCTCTGTCTTTACTAGAGGGCTCTCTTTCTGTTTCAACTCCAGGCATAGAGAATCTCAGCAACAATAAGATTGCCTGCTTGATCGGCATTGAAGGAGGCCATTCCATTGACAGCAGCCTGGCCACCTTGAGGATGTTCTATGAGCTGGGTGTTCGGTACATGTCTTTGACCCACACTTGCAACACTCCCTGGTAATCAACAAACCAAGTTTCTCTCGGAGACGGATTGTTATGACAGCAGCCACAGTTGCTTTAGAATAATAATATGGGCGTGCATGTGTAGTTTAAGAAGATGAATGGCAGGTAATCCTTGACTTGCAACCATTCTTTTTTGGTGACCATTTGAAGTTAGAATGGCACTGAAAAATGGGACATATGGCCAGTCTTTGGCCAAGACTGGGAAATCAGGAAGTCCAGGCAGCTCATATGAGTATATGAGTTTATTGTATGCTAAAGCTCTCTGCAACAGTGGTTCTCAACCTTTCTAATGCCGCGACCCCATAATACAGTTCCCCATGTTGTGGTGACCCTCAACCACTTATACATCACCGGGTGCCAGGGACTTGGCCAAAGAAAAGGGGGAAAAATGGCAGACAGCCTTGTTTGGCGACCCCCGTGAAATGGTCGTTCGACCCCAAATGGGGTCCCGACCCACAGGTTGAGAACCACTGCTCTACAAGAATCGGAATGGAATGGAATAGAATTGCGTCCAGGATGTGAGGGTTCTGTAGATATTTTTACAGCCCTCTTTTTTGCTCCTGCAATATACAAGTCCTCAATGGAAGGGAGGCTGGTAGCAACAGAATTACTAATGCTCAAAACAAATTGATGGTAAATAACAGTCAACGGAATTCAAGGTGGGCTGCACTTAGATCCCTTGTCTTAAAGATGCTTTTTCAAGAAGCAACTGGATTTTCTGCTTTTTCTCTGAAGATGTTTTGCTTCTCATCCAAGAAGCTTCTTCAGCTCTGACTGGATGGTTTGAATACCTTTAATTTGAATACCTTTCAACCTTTCACCTTTCATTGAATAAAAGTCCTTCTTTTTTGTTTATTTTCAGGGCAGAAACTTCAACGAAAGGCAGACACAATTTCTATCCTGATGTTAACAGCTTGACTCCTTTTGGCATCGTAAGAGAAAGTTCTAAGTGAAACTTAGAAAGTGACTTGAATTGATATTGAGATCTGAGGTTCTTTTATGTAAGGGAGATCTGAGAATTAATCTACAAGGGTCTTTTCTTGTATCTTGATGAGAATCCACCATAATCAGTATTTAATTACGATGAAGATTGTGTGATGATGGTGATTGTGGTGGTATATGCCATCAAGTTTTGAGTCTTAGAGAGTACATAAATAGATCTTCTCCATGAAGATCTATCCATAATCTGGTCTTCAAGACTTCCAACAGTGCATCTTTCACCACATTACTGCCAGGTGTCCTCTTCTTCCTCTTTCCTTCCATCTATGCCAGCATCAAAGCTTTCTCCAGAGAACTAGGTCTTTGTATAATATGTCTGAAATAAGCTTTGTCTCTGTGACCCTGGTTATTTGTGCCTCAAGAACTCCCAGTTGATTTGTTTGATGGTTTGTTGGTTGACTGGGGAATTCTGGGAGTTGCAGTCCACAAGTCTTAAAGTTGCCAAGGTTGGACACTCCTGCTTTAAAAAATTGTTCTTAATAACTGAAAGTTAATATTCATTCATTCCAATTTCTTCTATATTCCTTAGCAAACTTTATCCTAACTCAGTCTTCCCCAACCTTCTAGTCTCCAGAAATATTTGATTCCATCAGCATTTTTTCTTGTAGAAGAAGATCTGCAGATTGGCAGAACATGCCAATCTTGACCATCTTGATTGAACATGCTTCCCAACAAGAAAATGGAAGACCTGAGTTGGAGATGTGTTGGTTAGTTGGGAGAAAGCTTTGAACAGCACTCAAGAAATGAACATTTTACTGTGATTTTGGGGAGGCTGGTCAGGACCCCAGCTTTGTGTGCGAGGGTGTCTCTTTGTCTGTGTACCACAATATCTACTGTATTTTCTCCAGGAAGTGGTGAAGGAGATGAATCGCCTGGGGATGATGGTAGACCTATCTCACACCTCTCATGAGACAGCAAAAGCTGTTCTTAGGGTTTCCAGAGCACCTGTCATTTTCAGCCATTCTTCTGCCTATTCGGTCTGCCACCACTCCAGGAATGTTCCAGATGACATTCTCCTAAAGCTTGTGAGTCTTGTTTTCCAGATCATCATGCACTAAAAGAAGGTCTCCCTCAACCAGAGACCCTTTAATGTCCCGGACTCCCATTATTCCTGGTCACCTAATTTGCATTAGATGGGTTACATTGGTTACAACCCAGTGAGTTACAACAATTTGGGTTACAACCCAATGGGTTACATTAGATTACAACCACTTGTTTTTCAACCCAAACATAGGGTTACAACCACTTGGTCTTTTTAATTTCAGATAATGCCCAAGGTTGATGCAAGACTAAAAGGCATCCCTACTAAGATGGCTGATAGTAGAGCAGGGATCTCCAAAGTTGGCAACTTTAAGACTTGTGGACTTCAATTCCCATGGCTGGCTGTAATTGAAGTCCACAAGTTGCCACGTTTGGAGACACGTATGGTAGAGAGAAGTGGTTTGCTTTGCAACATGCTTACTTCTCTAATGAGGTGGGGCAGGGGCCTTCTGACACAGCCCTCAGAACTGGATGTTTGACTGATTTAATTTTTTTCCTTGTTTTAGAAAGAGAACCATGGAATTATAATGGTGACGTTCCCTGTGAAGTTTTTGGCCTGTGGAAATAAGTCAGTTAACATCTCAACTGTTGCAGGTTTGCAAACATTGTGCTGTTCCTATATACAACCGTTCATTTAGCAAAAAAGTGACTTACAAGCAAACGGGATGGTCCTCTTTTGAAAGTACCTCATGGAGAGAAGGCCACCTTTTCTAGCTGTCAGCCCTTCAAGATAGGCCAGTTCAGGAAACAGGCTCCACCAGGATTATTGGAACTCAGTTTGTTTTTTGAAGGGTTTTATAACAGAACTTTGAAAGCCTGACAGAGGTTCTATCTCTCCCTTATACCAAAAAGAATGAAGGTGAGGCAATTTTAAGCTTTTTTCTCATTCCCTTCTCTCTTCTGGAGCTAAACTAGTGGTTAACCTAATACCTGTTGAATTCCTTTTTCAAGGTCGTCCCTACAGTAGGGGAAGAAAACTTTGGGGAAAATGGAGATAGCAATAGCACTTAGACTTATATATCTCTTCATAGTGCTTTTACAGCCCTCTCTAAGTGGTTTACAGAGTCAGCATCTTGCCCACAACAATCTGGGTCCTCATTTTATCAATCGCAGAAGGAGGGAAGGCTGAGTCAGCCTTGAGCTGGTTAGGATCGAACTGCTGTCAGTGAGTAGTGAGTTAGCCTGCAATACTGCATTCTGACCACTGCGTCACCATGGAGTCTAAACTGATGACATGTTTTATTCTGCCCTCCAGCTCTGCCTGGCCCTCTCTTATAAGCATTTCCCCTTTCTCCTGGCTGTGTACTGATGCTATCTCATCTTCTTCTTTTTTGACAAAAAAAAAAATAATTCCAGATCACTTTGACCACATAAAGAAAATTGCAGGTTCATTTTCAATAGGAATTGGCGGTGACTATGACGGAGAATCACGGTTAGTATGTGGATACGTTATTATTTGGTGACGTGCAAACTTTTCCATTTCAAACTGTTAGGACTTGAAATGTATTTCATATTCAAAACAGGCTGTTTCAATCATTTGAGAAGTGTTTTGAACTCAGAATAAGGGACCCTTCATATTTGGTCTAATCTTTCTAAAAATCATTTAGGTCTAATAAACCATTCTATAAAGAAACATACCAAGCAGTACAATTGGGTGAAATTCTTGGAATTTCCCAGTTCTTTTTTTAAAAAAAACATTTATAAAAATCTTGTGAGTCTCTCGTGAGCAGCCATTTTACTGGTAGCAAAAGCTGACAATGAATTTTCTTAGTTCCTAATCTGGCTGTGGTTTTGCTAATAGACATTTAGTTTGTGCCACTTCTGTCTTGACTGACAGATTCCCTCAGGGACTGGAAGATGTTTCAAAATATCCAGACGTAATTGAAGAACTGCTGAGGAGAGGCTGGAGCAAGGAAGAACTTCGTGGGATTCTGAGGGAGAACTTACTTCGTGTTTTCAAAGAAGTAGAAAATGTAAGGGTTTCCCGTTCTGTGACAACTGATTTTTAGCTTTGCTCTTTAGTAATATTAATGACTGATGGCAGACACCCCTACGGATCTTGGAGTCCAGGGTGACAATTTTAAATTGTCGATCAACATCATAAAACGCTGCTGTCAGAGCGCCCAAAATGATCATTTAGGAAAGCAGACACTCAACTCCAATTGATTGAAGTGAAAAGAACTTTTACTAAAGTTGTTGCTTGCAGGAAGGTGAGGCGGAAACTGGAGTTCCTGCTCACTGATACAAAGAGCAAACCCAATGTTTACCCATCCTTCCCCCCAATGTCCGGTCCATTGCCACCCAATCCAGGATCACCCCAATGTGGGAAACTCTGGGTTGTTTAGGCTGCTGGAATTTCACACCCAGGTCAAGCAGCCTTGAAGATGCCTGGTGTAAGCGGTACAGACAACTCTGGTCTTCTTCACGTCAGGTCCCCTCCCCATTTCCCACCATTAGATACACAGGTGTGGGTTGCCCCAATTGCTTCCCCCTCCCTTCCCCTTTGATGGTATGATGCCAGCAAGGCGCCAGGCTGATGATGGAGATCCTGACAGCTACTTCTCTTGGTTCAAAGATGGCCAGGAGCTTGACCTGAACCTAGACCTAGAGTGACCCCAAACAGCAAGATGGGTGGTATACCAATTTAATAAATACGATTTCAGATGTTTGCATTTCACACAAAGGGATTTGTGAGTTTGGCCCTAACTCTGAACTTCTGAACTAGGTGAAGAAGAGCTGGCAAGAGAAGGCAAGTGAAGTGGAAATCCCACTTGAGCAGGTGGATCAAACCTGTCGCCTGGAGCTGAAGCCTCCAACTTCGCCAAGGAACGGCTCCTGCAGACTGCTTTGCATGGGGCTACTCAAAAGCCTTGTATTCACCGTAGGAATGTACATGATGTTGCCCTGAACTTGATTCTGACAACGGCGCCAAGGACGGATTCTTCCAAAGTTAAAATAGAAACGAAGAACAATACTACTCATGATCACAAAGTCTGGAACGGCCAATGGTTCCTGCTTCATTTGCACAAAGCTGCTTTCCCAAGAGGCAACTGGACTTTCTTGGGTTTTCCCCTTGAAAACGGTTTCACTTCTCTTCTTCCGTTCACGGATGAGAAGTGGAATGTTTTCAAAGGAAAAAAACTAAGAAAGCCCAACTGCCTTTTGGAAAAGCACCTTTTGGGACAACCGTGACCTGGAAGATTGAGAATCTTCACAGAACGAGAAGAGTTTTGGAATGCCAAAGGAAAAGCTGCCCAAACAGAGCCATCATTTCCATAAACATCACCTATGGTACCGACATGCTCAGTTCGGAATGAAATTCAGTCACATTCAATAACTCCCAGCACACTCCGGTGATATTTAATTCCTGTTAAATCCTGTGGAACTTCCTTCTCCAAGTAAATATGAATGGGTTAGTACTGTGAATTTCTTATTCTTTGGTTACTCCATGTGTTGGCATAGGGGTCTCTCCATGAGTATTAATCAATGCTTAACAATTCATTTATCTAGAGACATTACAATGTTCACTGGGAACAAATAGGAGGATCAGGGGCCAGCTTCACTTTTCTTGTTAATGTTTGGAAATGGGAACATTGTAGGTGTGAAAATGCCCCTAGTCGGGTCTTAGTTTAATATAGTGTAAGTAGTAGAAACTTTTGCAAAAAGTGACATATAGGACACTCCTTTTGCTAATGCAGTCCAGCAGGGCTGAAAAAAACCCATAATGATTCATTGATTTAATTAGTCTGAAAGTCATATACTGGATGGTAGCGCCCTCTCGTGGATTTTACTAAAGAATTGTTCTATTCTATTCTATTCTATTCTATTCTATTCTATTCTATTCTATTCTATTCTATTCTATTCTATTCTATTCTATTCTATTCTAGACAGATGGCTGTGCAATCTCTTCTTAAAAATCTCCAGTGATGAAGCTCCCACAACTTCCATTGTCAGAAAATTTCTCCTAATTTCTAGCTTGGTTCTCTCCTTGATTAGCTTCGATCCATTGTTTTTTGTCTTGCCTTCCGATGCTTTGGATAATAATAATAATAATGATGATGATGATGATGATGATGATGATGATGATGATGATGGAAGGGACCTTGGAGGTCATCTAGTCCAACCCCCCTGCTCAGGCAGGAAACCCTATACCATTTCAGACAAATGGCTGTCCAGTCTCTTCTTAAAAACTTCCAGTGTTGGAGCAGTCACCGCTTCTGGAGGCAGGTTGTTCCATTGGTTAATTGTTCTAACTGTTAGGAAGTTTCTCCTTAGTTCTAGGTTGCTTCTCTCCTTGATTAGTTTCCATCTGTTGCTTCTTGTCCTGCCTTCAGGCGCTTTGGAGAACAGCTTCATTCCCTCCTCTTTGTGGCAGCCCTGAAATATTGGAACACTGCTATCATGTCCCCCCTCGTTCTTCTCTTCATTAAACTAGACATACCCAATTCCAACAGCCTTTCCTTATATGCTGTAGCCTCCAGTCCCCTAATCATCTTTGCTGCTCTTCTCTGTAATCTTTCTAGAGTCTCAGCAATAGTTTTCTTTATATTTATCTCAGCTCCTTCCCGGCATAATAAAAGTGGAGGGACAGAAGATTCATAGCGCAAGTATCCTTACCCCCCACCCCCACCCCAGTTTCTGCCAGAGCTCACGTTGAAGCTGGGAGGAGAACGTCTTGCTCAATCCTTTTTGAGAAAGTTCCTCATTTGGGCGATAACACGGAGTTGCTACATTGCAAAGTTTATTTCTGCATTGAGCGATGACCTATTGTTAGGGAGACCTTCAGCTGACTCTCTGGGGAAAAGCCAGCAGTATGTGTGGTCAAGTTCTTGTTTTTCTCTCTCCTCTTTAGAAAGAAGGAACTCCCTACGTGTTGTTCAATCAAAGCTTGTGGGGTTTTGTCAGCTCTCCATTCTCTGTGTTGGCTGCCTCTGTCTCCAGATTCAAATCAGAGTGTGGTTTCAACATTAAAGCCTTAAACCAGGGGTCTTCAACTCCCAGAATTCCTCAGCCAGGATGCTTTAAGACAGGGGTCTTCAAACTTGGCCCTTTTATGACTTGTGGACTTCAACTTGTGGACCAACACTAGCTGAGGAATTCTGGGAGCTGAAGTCCACAAGTCATAAAAGGGCCAAGTTTGAAGACCCCTGCCCTAAGGCAAGATACTTTTTAGCCTTCTTTCCTAAATTTAATCCAGCACTGAAGCCCATGGGCCAATGAACGTATTCCAAAAATCTTTTCTTTCTTTCTTTCTTTCTTTCTTTCTTTCTTTCTTTCTTTCTTTCTTTCTTTCTTTCTTTCTTTCAACTTACATACTTTTACAAGTTTGAAAAACAAAACAGAAAAATGCAAAACTAAATCAAATGGGTACAAAGAACTACAAAGAAAACCACAACACAATGGAGGAAAAAAAATATAAAATGCATACGAATCAATAACAACAAAAGGGGAGGGGGGGAAAACCTGCCGTCTAAACCTATCTGGAACAAGTGCTCAACCAAACATGAAAAATTCAGGATGTGCAACAAAAATAAGGCTTTGTGGTTGTCAAATCCAATGAAATATAAGCCAGTGGGAAACGTGTTGCATCATTTTATGGTGAGCGGTAAAAATTACCTTCCTGAAGGGAAGAGTCAATGCCATTTCAGCCTGTTTAATTGTGTGAACCCAGAACATTTGGAGTAATTGGATTAACAATGGTCAGGCAAACTCTGCCAAGGTCTTAAGACATTACTCACATTCAGAGTCCCTGCACAGTCTGCCTTGGCGATTTACAGGATGAGGAAGGAAAGTTGTATTCAGCTTCCTTTTTCGTTTCTTAATAAAAACCAGGCTGCTGCTCTTGAAACAGCCCAGCTGAACAACAACAACAAAAAAATCTTGCATTGTTCGCTCAGTTTGGCTAAGCCATCCATCCTGTTCCTGTTAATGACATTTATTAGAAGCACTGCCTCCCTCCCAGAAAAAGGGAATAGGAGCCAAGACACCCCAAACCTCCCCATTCCAACCTATCCCAAACTTGTTTCCCTCAAAGTATTAAGAAAAACCTCTTTCAAGTTGAGTTCTATATGATGGCTGCATTGATGCAGGATTTGGTGCATTATTATGGCTTGCCTGGTGTGTGTGTGTGTGTGTGTGTGTGTGTGTGCAATGGCTCAGAGGTTAAAGATGCTGGGCTTGTCAGCTGGAAAGAAAGAAAGGTCGTAAAATAGGACAAAATTCACATAACAATTGTCTCACTGAGCCACAGAAATTGTGTTTGTAAGTCGAGGACTACCTGTAACTGTGATGAGGCAGGAGTGGGCAGCTGTAGCCACTTTATGGCCTCTGGATTTCAACTCCCAGAATTCAGGACTGGCTCAGGAATTCTAGGCATTGAAGTCCAGAAGTCATAAAGTGGCTAATAGTTGCCCACACGGGTGATAAAGACTAGAACAGAAAAATAGATCACAGAGGAACGAGACCAGGAGACAGAATCCAGTACCAAACATAAATCAAGAGGGGGTTCCCGTCAAAAGCAGGTTGAAAATAATTGTATCAACCTCCACGTTTGATCTAATTTACCCCATAAATCAAAATTAGCCTTAACTAAGAGCCGGAAATCAATCTTTAGTCATGCATCTGGAAAGAGGAAGCCATTATGTCCAGGAAGCCCTTGCCAATTCGTTTGCGAAGGAGGAAAGGTAAAATTAGATTCAGATCAAATGTAATCCAAACGCTCAGCTTTCGCTTGTGCTTTTTTTAAAGGGGATGTTCTCAAAAAGCGTGAGAAACCTCTGCACATGGGATAGGGTCAGGTTTTCCCCACATTCGTTCCCCTTTTAAAGAGCATATTCCTTCCCAATTCAAATATATACATTTTTTTAAAACTATAGGTTGTCCTCAACTTACAATCATTCGTTTAGTGACGTTCTAAGTTGTAACAGCGCTGAAAAAAGTGACTTCTGACAGGTTTTCAGCAGCTCCTTGATCACATGATCGGAATTCGAAATGTTTGGCAACTGGTTCATACTTACGACGATTGCACTGTCCCGGGGTCATGTGATCCCCTGTGGCAATCTTCTGCCAAAGCAAAGTCAATGGGAAAGGTGGATTCATTTAACAACCATGTTACTAACTTAACTACTGCGGCGATTCCCTTAATAACTGTGGCAAAAAAAGGTTGTAAAACGGGGCCAAACACATTTAAAAACTGTCTGCTTAGGAACAGAAATTTTGGGCTCAAATGTTCTCATAGGTTGAGGACCACTTGTGTAGGAATGGAGCTACGGTTATGCTACTTATCAGTTACATCAATGGTCTGGGGAAAACCAGAGGAATTGTTCTTAAGGATTTCATCACTTTCAGCCAAATTTCATGGAAAGTTTATGTTTCAGAGAAATCTCGTGAACTCTTGAAGTGGAAGATGAGAGTCCTTACCCCCCCCCCAAAAAAAGCTAGAATCAGATGTGGACCTTTCTGGAAATCTCCACGCCGTTCAGTATTCCTGTGCCCAGAAAAGCCATAATATTTTTATTTTCGCTTTTGCATGTAAGGAAAACAGCAGGATGGAGGAATACAGAGTAAGAAAAAGTTATCTGCCCTTTGTTTTATGTTTTATTTGAGGAAGGATAAGTGAAAGGCTTGAGAATTCTTTATGGCCTAGGCATTGTCTTGGTTTTCTGTTTAATTTCTAGAAGCTTGAATGTTTCTGAACAGCCTCTCATAATTCCATGCTCATAACTCTTTTCTGAAAGTCTCCCTTTGAATTTTCCATCCATTTTCTTCACACACACACACACCAGGTCTTTCTTTTATTTGCTGGTCTGGGACTGCATTTGCAGAACACATTAAACTTAGTAACTTTAAGCTCTGTTTACCAAAATATCCCAAATGTTACTGCATTTCCACAACACAATCTCATCATCTGGGTTTGCACAACAAAAAGAACCACAGTGAAACAACACAAGGTTAAAAATTACTCAGGTCTGGCCTGTTGTCAACACACCTTTGCTTGTGTCTTACCTGAATTGTTGAGATAACTGTTAACTCAGTAGGTTAAATCATCCTCATTTATTCTCACATCTCTTCCAGGCAAGGCAAAATGATAAGCAATGATTTATCTTGCAGGCCAAATAAAACATTTAATCTGCATTAATATTTTATGCAAAGCAAACAACTATGACCTGTTTCCTGAATCATCCCTCCATAATCTTGGCTTACTGTTATGCACATAAAGCAAATGAGGGGTCCTTGGTCCTCTCTGAGTTTGATTGTTTTCTTGCAGACGTCTCATTACCCAACAAGGTAACATCATCAGTGCAACAATCCAGCCAAAGTGGTGCCACTCAACATGTTGGGTTTGATAATGTTACTTAGTTGGTTCATGAAACATCTGCAACAAAACAACCAAGCTCAGAGAGCACCAAGGACCCCACAGTCCATCAAACTGCAATTCACAGCATTTGTCATTAGCTGTATAGCTCAAAGGGATATTTAGAATGAACGTGGATGAGCAGAAATCCTTTTGCATTCCTCTCCCCAGTCCAATTCAGCCCGGAGACTATATCTTGGCTCACACATTACACTATATCCTGGGTTTTTTTTTTAATAAATCACACTGGGCTGCTTTTGTAAATGCATAAATCATGATTTACCATGATTCTGCTCATATAGCCTGCTGAGCCAAAACCATTAACCTCCATGCAATGTGTGAACCCATCTATGTTTGGTTTAACAAATCACAGGTAAGGCGTGCGACACCAGCATAAAGCTAGCAAACAGATCTCTCAGATAAATATTTACCTAGAGGTTGGTGTGAAGACATGGAAATGTCTAAATAAAGAGGATGTTGTTACTATAACAGAATTATTGGCAGCTGTAGCTGCTGAGTTCACCCTCTGGAGTAAGCCATGGTGTGCCGAATAAAACCCCCAATGACTTGCATTCACACACACCTCAAACACAGAGGCTGAGTTCCCACTCTACAATATGCCACGGTGTGCTGAGTAAACCGCAGTCAGTTGCAATCACACAATCCCTCACACCCTGGAATAAGCCACACATAAACCCCAATCAAGTCCACTCACACAACCCCTCAACCGAGCCAGGGTTGCCTTTGAGGCAGGGGCGTGTGCAACTTTCACCCCGGGCTCGCCGGGCTAGGTTCAGGGTCGCGCTCCAAAAGCGAGCAAGTCAGGCAAAGGGGAACGTGTGACTCCAACGCGCAAGGTGGAGAAGAGGCAGGCCGGGGCAACTTTCCCAACTTTGGCTAAGGAAACGTGTGCAAGGAAACCCTCAAGCCCAGAGAGCACCCCGGGGGGGGCGACTTTGAAAGGCGGCAAACTTTCTCCCGGAGCTGGAGGGATGCGCGCCGGAGCCCAGCGGCCGAGGCCATCCGGAGCCCCCTGCCCAGCGCCGGCCCGACCCTGCCCTCCCCTCTCGGCCGCGCGCTCTGCCTGCCCTGCAGTCCCGGGGAGCGGGAGCGGGGGCGTCGCCGAGCCGCGCTTCCTGGGAGGAAGTGACCCAAGGCGGCTGGAATGCCAGCCTGGCTCGGCCGAGGCTGCCGCGCCGCGTCTCCCGCTCGCCTCGTCGCGCGGCTGCTGCTCCAGCCAAGCCCCGGGCGCGGCGGCGGCGGCGCTTCAGCCAGGCGCTTCAGCCAGGCGGGGGCTTCTCTCCCGACGGCCCGCCGCGGCCATGCCGCACTTCACGGTGGTGCCGGTGGAGGACAAGGCGCGGGCCGGCTACGACGACTTGGAGGGGCTGAGCTGGGTGGACTACAGGCAGCCCGGAGAGGACGGGGCGCCCCGCCAGCGCGACCCCTACGACTCGGTCAGCTCCGACGGTGAGTGGCGGGGAAGCGGCGGGGTTGGCTTCTTAGCGCCCCGGGCGCTGCGCTCTCGGCGGGCGCTTGGAGAGGCGCGGCTCCGCTTGGAGAGGCGCTTTGGCCAACGCTTGGAAGTGATGCCCGAGGGGGCTCGCGGGGCGCTGAAGCGCCGGAGCCCGGCTGGTCACCGGGGGGCAAGAGGTCTCTGAGCGTACGCGGAGTTTTAGAAGTGGCCCCAGCTGCAAAGGCGGGGAGGCGCTTGGTGGCGTTCCGGAGAACTTTTAAGGATGGCGCGGAGTTCCCTAAGCAGCGTTGAGAGAGCGCTTCGCCTTCTAGGACTCACTCAGGCCAACTCTTTTCGAAAGTGGCAGTCCTGCCCTTTCCCCCGGAGGGCTAAGGGCTTGGACTACAGTTCCCATCCCTTTGGGAGATGCTGGGTGGGTAGAGTCGCCCGATCCCTACCTGGAGGGGATTCTGGTCTTAGGAAGCTGTTTGGAAGGAATAGGGGTTGCTCCGGGTACTGCGTTTTGTTTGCTTGCTTGCTTAAAAGTTGAATGCTTATAGTTTTGAATTTAACATTTGTGGTGAGAGAGGGGGAGAAGGAGGAGGAGGAGAAGGAGGAAGGAGAAGAAGAGGAGAAGGAGAAGAAGAGAAGGAGAAGAGGAGGAGGAGGAGGAGGAGGAGGAGGAGGAGGAGGAGGAGGAAGGAGAAGAAGAGGAGAAGGAGAAGAGGAGGAGGAGTGAGGAGGTGGATATGACACAGGAAGTGGCTGGGTTCACAGATTGCACTAAACGGTGCTTTGTTTAAACCAGGGGTGTCCAACCTTGGCAACTTGGAAGACTTGTGGACTTCAACTCCCAGGATTCCCCAATCTGAAGTTCACAAGTCTTCAAGCTGGCTGGGGAATTCTGGGAATTGAACTCCACAAGTCTTCCAAGTTGTCAAGGTTGGACACCCCATTTAAATCACGGATACGGAAAAAGCAGGGGTTACAAAATTCTGCCCCAGTTATGCAAACTGTAGGTAGTCCTCGACTTACAACAGTTCGTTTAGTCACCGTCGGAAGTGAACAACAGCACTGAAAACAGGGACTTACAACAATTTTCCACCCTTATGCAGCCTCCCCAGGGTCACGTGATTTACATTCAGATGCTTGTCAACTGACTCACATTTATGACGGTCACAGCGTCCTGGGGGGTCACGTGATCCCCTTTTGTGACCGTCTGACAAGCAAAGTCAACAGGGAAGCTGGATCTGCTTAACCACCATGTGACTATTTTAACAACTGCAGTGATTCACTGAACAAATATGGCAGGGAAAGTCGTAAAATGAGGCAAAACTCACCTAATGGATTTCTCACTTAGCAACAAAAGTTGTGGTGGTAGGTTGTGAACTTCCTGTGTATTGTGTGCCTTAAAGTAGATAATCCCAAAGGGGGGAGAGTTCCCCCATCTTTCTTTCCTCATTAATGAAAGACATTAGGGATCTGCTAAATTGACTGATTTTTTTGTTTGTTTGTTTTGTTTCCAAGCCATGCTGTTTGGGGCATTTTTTGGTTATAAATCGTCTGAATTTTACACAACCCTAAAAGAAAATCTTGAGTTAGACCATACCCAGTACGGGTAGTCCTTGACTTGGGACCAGAATCTCCATTGCTAAGCAATGAGGCTCTTAAGTGAGTCGTGCCCAATTCTGTAACCTTTTTTTGGGGTGTGCCCTGGTTGTTGTGCAAATCACTGCAGTTGTTATGAGCCGTGTCATTGTTAAGCGAATCCGGTCTCACCCGTTGACTTTGCATGTTGGAAACAGATTGGGGAAATTGCAAAGGGTGATCACGTGACCCTTGGGATGCCGCAACTGTCATAAATACATGCCCGTTGCCAAGTGCCCCAGTTTTGATCACGTGACTGTGAGGATGCGGTGACGATTGTAAGTGTGAGGATGGCTGTAAGTCGCTTTTTTCACTGCTGTTGTAACTTTGAACGGTCCTTAGTCTTTTGTGGCAAAATTCGAAAGAACCAGTGTACTGTACCCATTATGGATGGATGGATGGATGGATGGATGGATGGATGGATGGATAGACAGATGATAGATAGATAGATAGATAGATAGATAGATAGATAGACAGATGACAGATAGATGATAGATAGATACAGATAATAGATAGACAGACAGATGGCAGATAGATAGATGATAGATAGATAGATAGATAGATAGATAGATAGATAGATAGATAGATAGATAGAGATAGATAGATAGATAGATAGATAGATAGATAGATAGATAGATAGATGATAGATACAGATGGTAGATAGATAAACAGATGACATATTTTTTTTCCGTTAAGTGACGTTCTACCATTGCTACACTGTGGTCTGAAATTCACAGAATTATCAACCCCTTTTAGCCACTTATCAAGAACTCGTGTTTTTCTTGGCTCCAACGCCAATATTTGGAATGCATGAAGAGCCGTGTCCTACCGTTGCTACATTTTGATCTGAAATACATTGGATTCTCAACCCCTTTTGCTCACTTATCAGAACCTCGTGTTCTTCTTGGCTCCATCTCCAGTATTTGGAATGCAAGAACACAACAAGACCTAAGGCCAATTTAGACAGGGAGAGGCATCATCAAATGATTATACAACACTGGAGAAATCAATTTATCTCCAGCACTGAATTGCTGATGTGTTCTCTTTGTCAATGTCTGAACTTGTTTTTCTTCAACAGCAGGACAAGAAAAATCATTCTCCAAAGCTATTTTTTTTTCTTTAGCATACAAATTTCCAAACCTTTCCTTTCCCATTTCAAACTTACACTATCTATAAAAATTAACAGAAGAACAACATTGGAAAGGACCTTGGGGATCTGCTAGTCCAACCTCCTGCTCAAGCAGGAGACCCCATAGTATTTCAGACAGGAGCTGTCCAGTCTCTTCTTAAAAGCCTCCAGTGATGAAGCATCCACAACTTCTGAAGGCAGGTTGTTCCACTGGTTAACTGTTCTCACTGTTAGGAAATTTCTCCTTGATTCCAGGTTGCTTCTCTCCTTGATTAGTTTCCACCCATTGCTTCCATATAAAGGTTGGTGTTTTTTTTAATGGTCCGCCAAGCTAAATCAAAGTATATCTTATCTGCACCTTATTTGCATGCCTGGAGATTCTGCTTGTCCTCACTTACTCTGGTCTAAACCAGAGTTGGGAAAATCTATTACTGAATGACAATTTCCACGTCTTAATCAGAAAGATAGTGTTAAGGGATACAAGAAGCTATAGTTTACTGGTAGTTATTTATGGGGAACAGTTTACCTGTTCCTGACATCAGCAGTAAACACCAGCTATATTCTTTTTTGGCCCTTCCTTTGTCCAATTTCCAGCCATTGTTCTTCATGGAGAATTCCTAGAAACTCCAACCTTCATACAATATTTATTCACTTCATATCCTGCCATTTCATTAGTAAATTATGAATGAGACGTGAACTGCCTAGAGTTCCTTGGAGAAACGGAATATGAAAGCTACCAATTTTAATGATATTTATGAAAATGGAGCAGAAATACCAGATTTAATTCATAAGTCACACTGCATTGAAGTATGGATCCATTTATGTTAGGCCAGAAGGTGTAAATCTTGGTTCTTTCTTTGCAGATCATGACTTATGAACGTTACGCAGATTCAGCCATTAGTGATTTACTCAGCACATCCTAGTTACAGGATAGAGCAATATATGTTCCACCAAACTTATCCTTCTTCTTTCTGCCAGACTTTTGGCTTAGGGTGAAGAACAGCCTGTGTGTTTGTTGAAGGATGGAAGTGGTGGTGCTTAATAATGACATAGTTTTGTCTAAATGGAAAAGGTAACATGTAATTTCCAGGCTGCAAATGCTCATTTCCCGGTGGTTGGGTAACTAGAGCATGGATTTGCTTTCCACCTGATGGATCACAACAGCTTAATGTTGCTTTTTTAATGCAGAAGAAGCCCCAGAGAAGGACTTTATAGAGTTGAGGGTCAATGAATTTACAAAGTTCTCCAGCAAACCTGGGGGGGGGGGGTCAGAGAGATTGGAGAGCGAAATTCTACAGAAAAGGACAACGAGAAACTTTCTCCTTTTTTTACAGTGTTTGTCAACCTTGACAATTTTAAGGCATGTGGACTTCAACTCCCAGAATTTCACAGCCAGCATTGCTGGCTGTGGAATTCTGGGAGTTGAAGTCCACATGCCTTAAAATTGTCAAGGTTGAGAAACAGTGTGGGACCTAACAAGACCCATAAAAGCCCTTAGGAGTTTCCTGTTGTTTCTTTTGAGATTTACTGGAAAAGTGGGAGACAGCTGAAGGCTGGAGAGATTACTGTCCTCAATAAAAGGCCTTCACACAGCCCTTGGCCAACTAACTCATCACACAAAAGAACTGCAAGAGGACATTTCTTTCCCCTCCTTTAAAACTTTTCAAAGGCAAATTCCGTCTTGTCACTGAAAAGAGAACTAGTAGAACAGTCCAGCCAGATAATGAACAATCTGGAATTAGTCATTTTTTCATTGTGGTTATTCTGAAACAAGATGCCTGGCATAGTTTTAAGCATTTTCGAAAAGGCTTGAGAATATTCTGAATTTGCTGGCAGCTATTTTTAAACATGTTGGTTTGCCGTTTTTATTTTCCCAAGCTCATGATTCCATTCTGCAGCACAAAAAAGGTCTTTATATAAAACAGTTTTGTATGATACAGGTCCTAAGTTTTACGTAACTCAAAAGCTGTTTTCGACTTAGGAAAAACAAACGTTGTTTATCATTTGTAATGCAGACATAAGTAACATTCTCATCTTAAACCTGTTTTTTGCAATTATCCCCCTCTGTTCTTTTCTCTGTTTTGTATCATAGTATTCTGAACTGAAAATGTACCTAATGGAGGAATGTGTTTCTCTAAATGTGCACCCTTGATCAAAATTGTATACTAGGAAGAAAATTGCTTGCCAAAAGATGTGCATTATTAGGGGAGGAAAACAGCAAAGAAGGCATAAAACACG